AAACTATGTCTTATTTCTAATTACTACAAGTCTATCAAATTCTCATGACTATGCGGGCATGGACTAGAGCTAGGCACGATTGAGTAACCATGAATAAAGTTTCAAATCTTAGTTTCTTTCATTTATAAGTACGCCTCTACTTTATGAATTTTGTTTCAGTTACGGCAGCTGATAATCTGTATAAAACAAATTTATTCAGCAGGAAAATGTCTTGATAAAAATCTTAATACGAATAGTGTCCAAATCCCAACGATTCAAATTTCACTGCTTTCGAAGAATAAATGAATTTTGAAAAAGGCCCATGAGGTATGGGTCCCAGAGGGGTGAACTTGTCAACACTCTTCGGACTGGGCACTTAGGTCCCATCCAGTTAACTGTATATAAAGTATACCTGAATCGGAAAAGAACTTTTAAAGTATCCTTACCCCTAAGGCCCAAGAGCTATAGTCACATAATCATAAGAGAAAAATTCGAGAAAAGAAAGGTTCCGACTGTTTGCTATTGATTTGTGCAGCCATTTTAATCTTTATTCCCTTACTTCAACCATTATTTGATCATTGGATCTGTTCCTAGGGGAATGTGTGGAGAAGCAACTGAACCAACTCTTTCTGTGTTTTTCACACACCTTGTCCCTCAGCATTCATGATTTAAGGAATGCAAGGTAGATTTCCAAGGGTACATTCATATCAAGGGGATTACATGAAAGTATTCACTTTTTTGTGGCTAAAAGGGCTTTTCTTTGTTCTCTTACCAGGGGAAAAGGTTTGCTTTGGGCAAGCTCCCCATGGCAAACCTCTTTGAGGAATGAATTCTGAAGTGCATTCAACCATGTCTTCATGACCTTCTAGTTAAAGTAATTTAAAAGGGATAGTGGGACGTGGTCCTTCACCGCCTTTTTCTGTCTTTGATGGCTGATCTTAGCCAATATGAGATTTTGATATACTTCCTAGGACACTTGAAAAAGTACCTTTATAAAAGCAACTTTGTAAAAGATTCCACATTTACTAAGTACACAACAACGACGACAAAAACAACAGAAATCTCTTATAAATGCTAAATTCAAAATCAGTTCACACCCAAACATTTTCAGGACAGGATTCTTAAAATGTGATACAATTTTTTTGCATATATTTACAAATTAAATTTACACAGTGCTTTACTGGTAAAGTTATAAGTAAAGTTTATCAGTATGGGATTTTAAGTCATAAGGTGAAAAAACCCTGTATCTGTGATAGTATCGCCCAAGGCACAAGCAGAGAAAATAAAAAGAAGGGGGAAAAAAAGTCTAGCACAAGATTTCACCTTGCTGCACTTCGGGTCCCTTTCCAGAGTCAGTTTGCCCATCAGACTGACTTTTTTTTTTTTTAATTTTTTTTTAATGTTTATTTATTTTTGACAGAAAGAGAGACAGAGCATGAGTGGGGGAGGGGCAGAGAGAGAGGGAGACAGAATCCGAAGCAGGCTCCAGCCTCTGAGCTGTCGGTGCAGAGCCCACGCGGGGCTCGAACTCACGGACTGCGAGATCATGACCTGAGCTGAGGTCGGCCGCCTAACCGACTGAACCACCCAGGCGCCCCCAGACTGACATTTTTGAAGAAGTAACTTTAGACATCATCTAATCCTTTCCCTCCATGTTACAAAAGGGGAAACTGAGACTCCATTTCTTGTGACTTGATTAAGGTGCTTCATGAGGATCAAATAAGAAATCTTTTACATGGCTACCTTTACATTTTCACTCAACTTCAGGTTAAGCTTCAGTTGGATATTACTGAGGTCTAAAACACTGTTTTCTCAAAATAAGAAAAAAAATTTGGGGGACCCTGGGTGACTCAGTCGGTTAAGTGCCGGATTCGATTTCAGCTCTGTTCCTGATTTCACAGTTCATGAGTTTGAGCCCCGTATCAGGCTCTGTGCTGGCAGCGCTGAGCCTGTTTGGGATTCTTTCTTTTCCATCCCTTCCCTGCTCATGCTCTCTCTCTCTCTTTCTCTTTCTCTCAAAATAAATAAATAAACATTTAAAAAATAAAATAAAAAAATCTTTAGACTGTATGTAATTAAATTAATCAAAAGCATAGTCTGTGTAACCAGATTATCTTGTTCAAATCCTAGTTCCACAACTAACCAGCTATGTGGATTGAGTGAATTTCTGAGACTATTTCACTTCCCATATTATCATAAAAAACAATATCTATTTCAAAGACTTTCCTGAGGAAAGAAATGAGATCCTATGAAATGAGGTGCCCCGTATAGGTGGTAGGTAACCAATATCGTATTTTAAATCCCAGATGTGGAATATGTATGTTTACCTTAAAATTATTTGGTTTTCTTCCTGAAACTTATGACTAGAGTAGTAAAATATAATTAAATAGCTTAAAATGTAATTATCAGATCCATAAAATTATTTCTTGCTCTCAATGGTGGCAGGTATTGTGATGGTACAGAAAGAACCTGTCATTCTATCCTGTCCCGGAGAGGATATCGATTAACATGAACTCAGAAGTGACCCATGGAAGTCTCAATGCGATCAAGTGCTCAGTTGTGTTTAACAGTCTTGAAAGAGAAGGGATAGATCTCAGTGAGGCTTAGATTACCAGCATACGTTGACTTACTGCACCGCACTTTATTGCACTTTGCAGATGCTACATTTTTTACAAATTGAAGGTTTGTGCCAATCCCGCGTCAAGAAATCCATTGGCACCATTTCTCCAATGGCGTTTGCTCGCTTCCTGTCTCCCTATCACATTTTGGCAATTCAAACTTTTTCATTATCACGACATTTGAATTGCTGCATTCTCAGGATAAAATTTTTTCAGGTGAAGAGTTGCTTCTTATGGACGAGCAAAATAAGAGGTTTCCTGAAATGGAATCCACTCCTGGTGAAGATGCTGTGAACACTGTTGAAATGACAACAGGGCGTTTAGAATATTCCATAAACTTAGTTGGTAAAGCAGGGTGTGAGAGGACTGACTCCAATTTTGAAAGAAGTTCTACTGTGGATAAAATGCTAACAAACAATGTCACATGCTACTGAGAAATTGTTCTTGAATAGAAGAGTCCACTGATGTGGCAAACTTTATTGCTGTCTTATTTTTAAAAACTTGCTACAGCTACCGCAGCCTTCAGGAACCGCCACCCTGATCAGTCAGCAACCATCGACATCTCCAGCAGCAAAAAGATTACTACTCGCTGAAAGCCCAGTGATGACTAGCATTTTTAGCAATAAGGTATTTTTCAATTAAGGTCTGTACTTTTTTTTTTTAGATATAGAATAGATATAGTCTATCACACACTTAATAGACTACAGTATAGTGTAAACATAACTTTCGTATACACTGGGAAACTAAAAAATCCATTTGACTCACTTTGTTGGGGGTATTCACTCTAGTGCGGACCGGGTGGAGCAAATGTGAATGAAGGTGATGGTGAACATGGAAGGAAAGGGGCTTCCCCTGCAGGGACAAGGAAGTATAAGAAGTCTCGGGTAAGAAGGGCAAACCAACCCAAAGCAGCGAATATTCACACTCCCAAATGCACCCATATAATTCTTCATTCGCATAACACTCTATATTTTTACTCAGCTCAGCTATGAAGCAATTAAATGCTGACATTGTTTTTACCCAGACAGGGAGGATAAGTACTACGCCCAAAATAGCCAGGTTTGGAATTAGCACGCACAACCCTAGACCGCATTTCTCATTCCTTTAGCCTGACGCTTGCTTTTCTTATGTTCTTTAGACCATATTTCACACTTAAAATTCACCCTTTTTAAAAAATGTTTTTAATGTTTGTTTTTGAGAGAGAGAGAGAGACAGAGCGCGAGCAGGGGAGGGGTGGAGAGGGAGACACAGAATCCAAAGCAGGCTCTGAGCTGTCAGCACAGAGCCTGATGCCAGGCTCGAACTCACAGACCGCAAGAACATGACCTGAGCCAAAGATGAGCCATCCAGGCGCCCCCCCAAAAATTCACCCTTTTAAATAGAAATTGACATCCTATTTCCAGTCCCCCAGGAAGCATTGCATAGACAACAAAAATCTACGGTTCCTGCCTCAGCTATGCTATCAATTAGCTGTGAAGCCATGAATGAACCACTTAGTCTCTGCGTGAATCTCTGCAAGGAATGGTTCCTCCTAGGCATGAAACGTTACAGATTGAACAGGGATTTAGTTGGGTGGAGTCCAGCAGAGGAAGAGCCAGTGTGCATTGCACAGCCTATATCTGACCTGTTTCATACAATCTTCAGCTAAAACTGCCACTCACCATTATTTCTCTCTACCCCCATAAAAAGGGAGTTCAAGAATAGATGGGCGGAAGGGATTTTATCGCTCTGCCTGATAAAAGAAATCACCTTGAATTTGAACGGCAGCTTTCTGATTATTTATATGTACCCTATAGGTATCAAATCCCCCGACAGTATAACAGTGGGGTAGGACACCCCACCCCGAGGTGGCCTAACAAAACACTTGGGGGCACAGCAGGAAGAAAGAGTAGCCACTGCTAGAAAAAATGAAGGAGGAATGCCAGTCCTCTCCCAGGGCAGCACCAGGGCTTGAGAAGAACGAATAGAGAGCTTTTCTGTGTTGGGAGCGATGTGGACCTGAAATCTGAGGGCGAACCAAAACCAGCAAAGAGCACAGCCCCCAAATTCACCAGGTCGTCTACATCACCGCGGCATAGGTACTTAAAGGCAAGAGAAGTCGCCTTCCGCACTGAAAGTCCAGGTTAACTCGTTCAATACAGAACCCCGTTCTAGTCTGGTGCGTGGAAACTTGTCCTTGGTTTAGGCTGGTGCTTTGGAGAACCCAGAACGCTGACAAGCAGCAGGCTCTCGGACGCGTCCCCGGCCGGGGACTGCCCTGGCCAGCGGGCAGCTCCTGCTGATGCTGTCCAGGCGTCGCCCAGGGGGAAAGGTTGCAGAGCGGTCGGAAGGCGCGGGAGGAGTCTGGCGGTGATTGATGGGGAAAGGACGAATGAATAAAAGTACTTGTCTCGGGAAGGCAGAGACCTCGAGCAACTGTGGAGGCTACTTGGTCTGGCATTCCCTAGGCGTTTCCTCAGAGCCGGACCGCCCGGCCCTGAAGGGAGGCGTGCTCGCCCCCTAGAGCGGGCTGGAACCGACCTGCGAGCCGAGCGTCCCGGGAAGGAGGTCCCCGCTCATCGCTTTGCTCCCGGTGCTTCCCATCCGCGAGGTAAACATTATGGCTTGGTGTTGAGTTAAAATTAGTCATTGAACCTTGTCCTGGGGCTTCAGCTTGGGTTGGGAGTTTGGGGATATCTACTTTTAAATCTAATTAAAGAAAAAAAAAAAAAAAGGACGCATAGATACAATGAATTAAAATGAGGTTGGAGTAAAGGAGAGCAAATAAAAGTTTGAAGCCACTTAGAGGGGACAGACGCTTCGAAGTTCATGCTGACACTCCCCCAAGTCGGACGAGTTGTGTGGGTCAGCCGGCGCACTCCGGCGGGCGCCGGGGCGATCCGAGCGCAGGCGGCTGGGGAGTAGCGGCTTCCACCACCCGGAGGAGTCTTGACGACGTTCAGACACCGGGTGTCCGCGTTCCCTGCGGAGCAAAATGCAGAGGTTGGCATATGCCCTTGGCCTCTGGGTGCCTTGATCCCCCCAGTCCCCACGCACCCTTAGCCAGAACGACTGTGCTTCCCCGGGACGCACCAAAGAGCTCAAAGCTAAGCCCTAGACACCCAGCCTTCTCTCTCTGGCACACCCCTTCCAGAATGCCCCGCCCCACTGCGAGTCACTTATCCCCCGGGGGATCGCAAGGGAGGAAAAAAGCACAGGGAAAGCTGGTTCGGGAAGGACAGTCGAGCGTCTCAGGAGTGTCACGCGCGCCGGTTTAGCACTGGCGCGCAAACTTGAGTTACATTTGCGCGCGGACGCTCGCCGCGCGGCTGCGCTCTGCGCTAGCGGTTTGCAGGGGCGTGGCTGGGGTAGCTGCCCCAAGCTTCCAGTCTTTCTTCCCTGCGGTTCTCCAGACTCACAGCTGCAGAGCGGCCACCCGACGCCCACTGGAGCAGGCAGCAGCATGCGGCCGCCGCCAAGCTTGCGCGGACGCGCCCTGCTGGCGCTGGTCATCGCCTGCGGCGTGGCGGGGGTCCAGGGAGAAGAGAGGGGATTCCCATCGACCGGGGCCACTCTGCCACTTCCGGGACCCGGAGAGATAATGACGCCCCCCGCCGAGGTTTCCTGGCCGAAGGATGCCAACGCCAGCGTGCCGTCGACTTCTGCACCCCCTCAGATGCCTAAAGCAGGGAGGACAACCGGAGCCCGGCCACGCTCGCCTCCTCCGTGCGAGAGATCCATTGAGATCAAGGAGACTTTCAAGTATATCAACACGGTGGTGTCCTGTCTAGTGTTCGTGCTGGGCATCATCGGGAATTCCACACTGCTGAGAATCATTTACAAGAACAAGTGCATGCGAAACGGCCCTAATATCTTGATAGCCAGCCTGGCTCTGGGAGACCTGCTACACATCATCATTGACATCCCCATCACTGTCTACAAGGTAAAGGGCCAATTTTGACGGGAGGGTGCCTAGGTAGGAGGAGGAAGACGGAAGAGCCTTTGGGGGATGCTTACTCTAGAAGATCCATAGCCTCCTAAAAGTCAGCTAGCATTGGAAACAAATTCCCTACTGGTCTTCAGTAACCTTAGGCTAAGCCTCCAGCAAGTATAATCCCCACACCAGCAGGATCAGCATCACTTGGGAGGGAACATGTTAGAAAAGACATTTTATGGCCCCACCTCAGACCTACTGATCTCAGAAACTCTGAGATAGAGCCCAGTAGTATGTATTTTTAACAAGCCCTCCATGTGATGAGGATGAACTGTAAACTCTGAGAACCACTGGTCCTGAAGTATTTAGTCCCTAAGCCTAGCTCACTGGGCCCACTGTCTCTAAAAAAAAAAAAAAAAAATGTGGTCCACAGGTTGGCAGGACCGATATCACCAGAGAGCCTGTTAGAACTGCAACTCCGGCTGAGACTTAACAAAAGCAGAATCCGCATCTTTAGATACCTGGGCGATTCATATGCACACTAACCTTGGGAGGCATTTTTGTGGAGGGCCCTAAAAGTAGAGGAGCTGGAATTGGGTTTTTTAGGAAACAAATGGGCTAGAAGAAAGAGACCAGATTAGAGAGTACACCAACACGCTTCACCTGCTGTGAATGACTGCACTGCACCTGCTCTTTAGTGCATGTCTACAGCGGGCCAAGCCCTGGAAAGGATGGTTACTTCCCTTTACTGCTTTTGACAGCCCGCAAGTAGGTATTTCTCCATTTTACAGATGATCGACAAGATGTTCGAGGCCTCACAGTAAGAGATGGAGGTGGGATTCAAGCCCAAATCTGTCAGGTCCAAAGTACAAGCTATACTCCCATCGATTACCTTGAGAACAAACCAAAGAGCACTCAGCGTGAAGTCTCTAAATGGTTTCAGCTGCTAACGTTAATTGTGATTACCACAGGGAACCGGGCACAGAGAGCTAGGGCAGAACATAAACCCCCCGCACTATTTGACTCCAGGTTGTTTTGGAACTCTAGACACATCCCGACATCTCTGGGCCTTAGTTTCCTCAACTCTACAATGAGGCTGTTAGTGCCCAGCTACTGGGGTATTGTGGTGTTAAGGAAAAGAGCCTGGGTGAAAGAGCCAGAAAATTTTTAAAGCCCATGCAAGGATCTAAAACTCTGCTTACCCATCATGATCAGCAGTAGAAAGTCACACATAAGAACAGAACCAAAGTGTAAGGGAAAGGGAATGTGCTTTGGGAATTTGCCTGAAGCTAATCCAGGGCTCAGTACAAGGGGGAAAATGTGTCATGGAGGCTGAGAAGGGGTGATAGGGGATGTTTTGATCTTTGTGGCAGGAAGCACCATAAGACATGCCTTTAATCCTAATCCAAATAACCATACTTTAAGGGAATTCTAGCAATTTCTGAAGTGTAGATGTAGGATTCGGATTAAGATCCAGGCTCTGGAAGGAAACACTCCCACAAATGCGGGATAAATAGAAGAAATCCTAAAATGCTGCATGGCAACTTGTTCTCATGAAGTCTGAGTGTTTCCTGGGGGAGGTGCAATCGAAAATGGTCCCTTAGATGCAGTCACAGTTCTGTTAGAGCCACAAGTGATGCACTTACTTCTTAAGCAGCCCCAACGACCAACTCTGACTGTTCCAATTTGACAAAAGAATTTCAATTCAATTCATCAAAACTAACTTGAGAAACTGTAGAGTGGATGTTGCAAAATATTTAAATGAGTGAAATAAAAAGCCTTCTGAAAAGGGAGACTACAATCCAGTTTTGCTAGGCTTGCATAGAATTGCGTGAAAGGTCTCCTTGGGGAGGACTTTCTTACTTTCTTACTTTCTCTGATCACATGATTACATTTGATAAACCAGAGAATATCTGACTCGCGGGGTGGGGGGCGTGGAGGGCACACAGTTTTTACTTTCATTTCAGTTTTCTTTATGATTTCCCTAGGAAATTGCATCATTTTGCCTGAAGCCATTCAATCTGTTAAAACTGTGCTTTTACTTCTGAAGTAAACAGTCAGTACAAATCCGGCCCCCCAGTCATCTGTATTGGTCATAAACACATCCATCACAAAGAATAAGGTCCCATTGCCAAGTTTGCCAACGTGGAATGCTACATACTAGCTTTTAGTTTATTTTTTATCTTGCGTGTAAACATGTGTCGCTTGAAGCATAATATAATAATAATGGCTGCCATTTATTATGCACTAGGTTCTTGGTCAGCATCACTAAATCATTGCAGCAAACCCCAGGGAGGAGGTACTGTTGTCATCCCTGTTTTACAGGAAAACTCCGTGTTGGACAGGTGAGGAAGTAACTTGCCCAATGTCGCACCACTGGACAGCGGTGAAACTATGGCTTTGACCCGGGCCATCTGGGCCCTAGAACCCGGAAGGTTCTAAGTCTTCCTAGACCTGGGACCTTCCCTGTCCCTCTGCACTGAGTGAGCTCAGACCCAGCATTCCCTTCTCTCGCATGCAGTATTCTTAGAACCTCATTTGCATGCCCTGGTGGGATTACAGGACACACTGCCGCACAGCAGGGTACTTGGTAAACATTTCCAGCTTTAATCTGAGTCATGTGAGGATTTCTATCTCCTGAAATTCCCCTTCAGATGATCTGTAGTACATAATATGGATAATATCACTGTTATTTTAAAGGCTTTATTTTACAAAAAACACCCAATTCAGACTAGTTAAAAGCCATTTATTCTCCTAAATAATTGTGATGCCATATAAGTAAGTTATTTTTTTTTTGAAAAAGAGAGAAACATAGGGCACAAGTGAGCGAGGGGCAGACAGAGAGAGAGAGAGAGAGAGAGAAGCGGGGCTCACCAGAAGCAGGGCTCAAGCTCACCCGAAGTGAGGTTCGTGCTCCCCTGAGGTGGGACTCAAACTCACGAATTGTGAGATCATGACCCAAGCCAACGCCAGATGCTTAACCAACTGAGCCACCCAGGCGCCCAACCATATAAGTAAGTTTTTAAAAATGCATTTAGAACCTCAGCATAATCAGGTATTATACTTAACACAAAGTAATTTAAGTGAATTATGAATGCCATTTAAACTTATCCTAAACTGGGAGACTTTAATCTCTAAACCAATGCTTTCTAAATTTTTTTTATGTTTATTTATTTTTAAGAGAGAGAGAGAGAGAGAAAGAGAGAGACAGAGCACAAGCAGGGGAGGGGAAGAGAGAGAGGAAGACACAGAATCCAAAGCAGGCTCCAGGCTCTGAGCTGTAGACACAGAACCCGACATGGGGCTCGAACTCACACGAACCCTGAGATCATGACCTGAGCTGAAGTCAGACGCTTAACCAACTGAACCACCCAGGCACCCCTAAACTAATGATCTCTAATTTTGTTTTTGTGGGATATTACAATTATCTTTCAGGATCCATTTAATTGTATATATTATATACAATTGACATATATTATAATTAATATGATATAATAATTATAATATATTAAAATGCAAAAAAATGTCATTCATGCATACACACACACAACATTTGCAATTTCATAGAGCCCACCTAACCCATCTGTTGGCACACCCAAGGGACATCAATGTGAATCTATTACATTAATCTGGAGTTCAGTAAATCTAGCATTCAAAAAAGTTGACAAACCCCAAAATGTCATAGTCTCTGATACTGCTGTAGAATGGGACAGGACTTCACAGGGAGGTGCTGACAACCCTTAGGATATACATCTGTTCTACCTCAAGAGACTAGGTCTCTGGAAACTTTCAGGTAGAATCAGTCCTCTCACCAGGTATCCTATGGCTGAGAGGAAATCCTATGATGAAGGCCACAGAGGTATCATAGGAAACCCAGACAAAGGAAACTGTTGAAGTACTTCACATATGCATATTCATGTAAATATGCTGAAAAGAAGAGTCTGGCTTATCCTTCCCAGCAGTGTCTGCTAAGGCTCTAACATGTTACATTATGTAAGTCCATCCAGATGAAAATGGAAAAGGCAGTCATCCAAAGCGGATATTTAAAAGTATGTATGTATCTTTATATCTCTGTGCACAGGTGTATACACGTATAAACACATATAAATAGACAGGTAAATAGCATTTGGCACAGTGCCTGGCACCTAGTAAGAAAAAAATAAATGTGTGTGTGTGTGTGTGTGTGTGTGTGTGTGTGTGTGTGTGTAAGAATGAAAATTTGTTTGGGCTTTTTTTTTCAGCTTTGCCATTATAAATGTGACTACAAATAATAGATTCATACAAATGGCTTTGCACACATGTGTGACTATATCTGAAAATTTCTAGAACTACAATTACTAAATCAAAGGATGTGTGCATTTGTGATGTTGATAGATATCTCTATTTTATGCCCCAAAGTTATGGTTGTACTCTTAGTTTGGGTCACTATTTTATATAACATCTCCATACAGATATGCATGTATTAATGTCTATCTCTAGTATATACATGGATCACCATGCCAATATTTCCATGGTCTATATCTATGTACCTGAACCAAAAGCCAGTATTTATAAGTATATGATGTGAGGATGAATCTCTTCTTACTCACAGGCTAGTTGTGTCCTTCCTTGTATAGACTGCGGTGAATGGGGTAACCGATATGTCTGTTGCCTATGAGAACCTATCTGACTAGTAAGTTGCGGTAGCACTGATGTCAAAGCTGTCCCAGCTGTGTACAAACAGCAAAGCAGGGGTATACTTCTGGATGCCGTGAAGGTTTTATGTTGTTGGTGGCTGATTGGTTGGTTAGTTAGTTCGTTTGGCTTCATTTGGTTTAGCAGTGATATTTAACAAAGGTTGGTGGCAAGTTCAAGTTAAAATTTACTTAACTTCTTTTAACTTCTCAAGCAACTAAAAATTCTTGAGCAAATAATGAGTTTTTAAACTATCTCTGGATTTCATTTAACAATTTCACTCTCAGTGCTATATGGGCATGGGGAACTGAGCTAATACAGTTAATTCTCAAATG